CTTTATCTTCCTTTGAGGGCTCCGGGCAAGGTGCTAGCTCGAGCATCTTTTCCAGTACTGGATTCTCCAAACCCTCGGGAAGGGGGGCCGAACACCGAATCATCTTTGCCCTTGTTAGCTAGTCCTGGTCAAAGAGCGATTTCTCAGAATGACGTCATGGTAAATGAAAGACAGTGTGTTCGGCTAAAGGATTACTTACTTGGTCGGCGGTATGGTTGCTGCTCAGGCCCACGTCCTCGGTAGTATCCAGACACTCTATTTGGGGTCCGAAGAATGATTTATACATCTCCTCGTGCGTCAGGCCGAGGAAATTCTGAATAGTGCGCGGCCCTTCTGGGTTGAACTCCCACATGCGGAGGGGCGGGCGTTTGCAAGGCTGGACTCGACGAACCAGCATGACTTGCGCCATCGTAACCAGACTGAAATCTTCTTCGAAGAGATCTTGAATGCGGCTTTGCAGTATAAGCACGTCCTTGGCTGGACCCCAGCCCAGTCCTCTGCTAATCCATGACATCAGTTGTGGTGGAGGGCCCGAGCGGAAAGCAGGGGCAGCCACCCACTTGGCACTTCTGGGAGCTGTGATGTAAAACCACTCCTGTTGTCATAATCCGGACACCTTTGGAAAGGAATCTTTTGGCCACGGAGCTCCTGCTATCTTGCTTATTAATGCGCCTCCGCATGCTGCATACTGCCCTTCGACCATCTTCGGCTTCACGTCAAAGGTCTTGAGCCACAGGCCGAAGTGAGGGGTAATGCGGAGGAAGGCCTCACACACGACAATGAATGTCGAGATGTGGAGAAAGGAGTACAGGGCTAGATCATGGAAATCTAGCCCGTAATAGAACATCAAACCCCTAACAAAGGGATCCAGGGTGAGGCCTAGGCCTCGGAGGAAGTGGGAGATGAACACAACGTTCTCGTTGGGTTCGGGAGTAGGGACGACCTGCCCTCGGGCAGGCAGTCGATGCGAAACCTCGGCGGTCAGGTATCTGGCCTCCCTCAACTTCTTGATGTCCTCTTCCGTAACGGAGGAGGGCATCCACCGGCCTTGAAGGCTAGATCTGGACATGATTGAAGGTTCGAAGCACCTGACTTGGGCTTTGAGTGTTAGAACTCGAGGCGGGGGAAGGATTCGATTGAGCACGAGAGGGAAAAAGTAAAAGCCTTGTCCCTTTATAAAGAGGGTGAATATCAAGCGTCCTCTCCGTAGCCGCTTGGGACTTGCCTATAATCTAGGAGTCCTAGACACGGTTGGGTTACCCACAACCGTATTGATGAGAATCCCGTAATTAGGGGAACACGATCTCTGCTTTGACAAGACATGTCAAGAAACCGCCTCGCGTTATGTGTGGAGCTGGTTAAAGAAAAACGGTTCGAATAATCACCGAACCATGGCATGATGTCATGTTGCCAAAACATGTCAGCAGATTAAGATTTGTGGAAATACTATTCTCTCTATGGTGGTATGTGGAATTTATTTTGCAGGGTCGGACACTATCCTGGTATTCAAACTCTTCTGTGATATGTTCGGAGGAGGAACCCGCCTTGCAATGCCAAAGACATGCACTACGCGCAGGACTCATCGTCATTGAAGCCTGGTTCAGGGGCTACCGAGGGAGTCCTGGATTAGGGGGTCTCCAGACAGCCGGACTATATTCTTTGGCCGGACTGTTGGACTATGAAGATACAAGATTGAAGACTTCGTCTCGTGTCCGGATGGGACTCTACTTGGCGTGGAAGGCAAGCTAGGCAGTACGAATATGGATATCTCCTCCTTTGTAACCGACCTTGTGTAACCCTAACCCTCTCCAGTGTCTATATAAACCGGAGGGTTTTAGTCCGTAGGACACAATAATATACAATCATACCATAGGCTAGCTTCTAGGGTTTAGCCTCTCTGATCTCATGGTAGATCTACTCTTGTACTACCCATATCATCAATATTAATCAAGCAGGACGTAGGGTTTTTACCTCCATCAAGAGGGCCCGAACCTGGGTAAAACATCGTGTTCCCTGCCTTCTGTTACCATCCGCCTTAGACGCACAGTTCGGGACCCCCTACCCGAGATCCGCCGGTTTTGACACCGACAGTCCCCAAAATAATATAAAAGTGGATAATAAAGTTCAATAATGTCCAAAACAGTAGATAATATAGCATGGAGCAATCAAAAATTATAGATACGTTGGAGACGTATCAGCAAGCACAATATAATACAAGAAAAGACTAAGAGACAAATAACCACACGCAGGAAGCTAGAGTTAGGAATAACCGCAACTCCGAGAGACGAGGATGTATGTCAATATTCACTTCCTTGGAGGGAACCTACGTCACCGTTTAGAGGGGTGGATGTTATCACGAAGGCACATCAATGCCACAAAGGCTCACCCTGTTCTCTGTTTGAGATATCACCACGGAGGCGATTCCCAACCACTAGTGGTAGACCTTGGGGTGGTCTCCAAACCCTCACAAACTTTCCAGGGGTAATCACAATGGTTGATTCCTCACCGAAGGACTCCCACCGCCTAGGAGTCTCCAACCTCCAAGAGTAACAAGATCCAAGGGGAAAAGATCAACACTTGGTCAAATCATGATTTGCTTCAGTCACAAGAGGGAAGAGAGTTGTTCTTTCTTTTGAGTGGAACAACTCTCTCAAACTCACAAAGTTCGACTCGGGATCTAGGATTTTGTGGAAGAGTGAGAGGGAGGGAGCACTTGTGTTCTTCGGGAGTCTTTGAGTGTAGTGGTCAATCGTACCCCAAGGGGGTAGAGGTATTTATACCTCCAATAGATTAGAGCCGTTTGGAGCAAGTGTTGACCTTCTCGGATGATCTGGATGCCATCCCGGATGATCTAGATAGCTCGAAAAACAAACACAGCAGAAAGGAGTCTGGATGTCCAAGAGGAACACCGGATAATGTTTGCGGGGAAAAATGTTGTGAGATGGCCGGATGATCAGTGGCCAAGTCCGGACGATCCGGCTCCAGCCCGAGGGCTGTTGTTGCCATATGAGTGCCTAGCCGGATGATCCGGGATAGTTCGGATGATCCACTTCAGTGAAAAGCTACATGTATGGTTCTGGTCCACTAGTCAGATGAACCGGGACCGGACAATCTGTGCACACCCAGATGATCCGGGACTAGGTCCGGATGATCTGGCTAGGAACCAACATGTGGAGCACAGAAGTTGTAGGTTTTGGCTAAGTGATTTTCCTTGGAAGATTTGGTCTTTTTGAAACACTTGTGAAACGATGTGTGTGTGTGTGTGTGTGTGTGTTAATAGATAGTGACCTAATGATGAGACTTGAGTAAAACTTGAACATACCACTTAAATCCCTCTTAATAGTATGGGATCCCTATTACTCAACAAATGTATAAAAGACACAAAGCTTCTTTTCTTGTTGGTCATTTGCTTGAGCCATATCTCGTTTGATGTGTCCATGATTCCACTTAATGATGCCAAGAAAACTAATATCCCGTGTATATACTCAACAAACATAATTAGCCCCTTATATGTAGTTTGTCATCAACATCAAAATATATTTAAGGGCAAGATTGCACTTTCAGCTGCCGTGTGCCCCGCAGCTAGCCACTGTTTTTTCGGGCTCATTGCGTGCTTCAACATGCCATTTATAAGATGACGATTGTGGGAGGGCCCCATGGCCGTGCGTGACGGGGCGAGAACTGGATGATGCGACCGGCAACCCAGGCAGGGCGACCAGCGACGTCCGAAGCTGCGATCGGCAAGCCAGAGTTTGGAGACGTGGTGACCATGCGCTGGAACTGGACGACATCGGGGCTACAATCATCATGAAAATTTCCTGAAATTGACCGACGTCGGGGGTGCAACAATGGTGAATTTTTGCTAGAACTGCGTCGTGTGTTGCAGCCGGCGTATTGACAAGAAGGTGCAAACCCATGACGGCCTGATGGCAAACAGATGTTACAAACCATGAGAGGAAAAGGCTGCAACCGGCGACAAATTCTACAACCATGAACAACAAAAGCTGCAATTGGCGACGAGAAAAGTTTCAAACAACAAAGAAAAAAGTTTCAACCATAGACTTGAAGTCATGGACAACGACGAAAAGTTGCAACCGTCGGTGGCAAAAGCTTCAGCTGACATTGAAAAGAGCTTCAACCGTTTCATGTGAGCGGCCGATGCTGCGCATGGCGTGCGAAGCTGTGATGACAGGGGCAGAGGTATCTCACGAGGGCTGGGAAAGAGAGGGGGGCGCCATGAAAAGGGTGCATGTGTGTTATATAAGCGCAGCTCGTACTCGCAAGAAAGGAGGACCTGCGCACGATAAGATCCAATCCGAACAGACGAATCAAACGGCTGGCGTGGCAACCGGCTCAAATTTGGCGCGGCCAACCGGCGCGTACACTTGCCATTAAAAAACAAATAACCTAACCGCATCCCACCGCTGTGCCGCTTATCGTGAGCCGAGCACAGCTGCACAGCCAGACACACCGACAGTTGTCGCTCCGGCCCATGCGAGGCCCGCGTCGAGCCCAGGCCCCGACACGTGCCCGACCCGCACCCTTCATCCTCCTCCAAACCCCTGCTCCATTCCCAAAATAGCGATCTCTCTCCTCTCCTCTCCGCTCCGCTCCCCACCGCTCCTCCCCTCGCCGCCACTCCAGCCGCCGAGAGGAGAGATCGATCCCATCCCGGCGGCAGCTCCGCCGCAAACTTCCCCGCCCGCAGCTCCGCTTGCCTTGCCGCCTAAAGCTCGCGACGCGCCTCCGTCTCCATCTGGTCCCCAGCAATCTTTCAGCCGCTTTCGCGTGCGCTTCCGGCGGGTGGGAGTGATACGATTTTGACGTGTCCGTAGCGCGATTTCCCCGGCCTTATCTTGTCCCCTCCCCTCCCCTCCCCGTGCCCATCCCACCCACCTTCTCGCCGGGCCCGGGCTTCCGGCGCGTTCCCTGCGTGGCAAGGCAGCTTCTTGCTGAGCGGTGTGGTTCCTTGCGTGGGAGGGTTCTTGGGGTTTGGGGGTATGGACCCGGTGCCGGGTCTGGTCAAGGAGGAGGAGGAGGAGGGCGCCCACGGGAGAGGCGATTCGCCGGCGGTCGGGGCGGCGCCAAGGCCGATGGAGGGGCTGCACGACGCCGGGCCGCCGCCGTTCCTGACGAAGACGTACGACATGGTCGATGACCCCAACACCGACAGCATCATGTCGTGGAGCGCCGGCAACAACAGCTTCGTGGTGTGGGATCCGCACGCCTTCGCCACGGTGCTGCTGCCCAGGCACTTCAAGCACAGCAACTTCTCCAGCTTCGTCAGGCAGCTCAACACCTATGTAAGCTTGCTGGCCTGATTCCCTTGATTCCTCCTGCAGATTTGCAATGCAGCTGATTTGTGATGCCTGTGAATGTAGTTTCTTTTTTCATCCCAAATGCAGTGCTGTGACTGTGAGACTGTTACCTAAAATTGGTCCAATGTAGCCATTGAGATTGTGTTGCCAATTTGGTGAAGGGAAGTACAGAAAAAAGGCAATTACAACCGCAGAATATTATTAACTATTCGGCTGGAGATGTCATCTCTTGTTCTTTATGATTAGGACATTTTGTACTTCAGAAAATTGGTGGTATCACACTAAACAAGCAGAGCTAAATCCCAGAAATGCGTCGGAGTGGTATATATATATATATATATATATAGGACAAATGTTTCCTACAAGCAGTGGTAGTTACCACCACTTGCGTTTTGTATGTTGTATGTAGTATCTATCGAAACCGAGAGTATGTACGTGTAGTATGTAGTATATAACAATGATTAGGTAGTATATATACAAATTTTTAGGTAGTATGTACCATTTTTTGAGTATGCTCTTTTTTACGTACAAATATGTACGTATTTCACAAATATAACAAAAACTATGGGCTCATATGCAATTTTTTCATGTAACTTGCTTTGAAATATCTTAGATATATTATATGAACATATTTAAAATAATAAAATAGTATATATAGTACCACATGGTAGTATATGAGATATGTGGGGTAACTACCACCGGGTGGTAGGATGGATTTTCCCTATATATATATATATATATATATATCCAAATACACAATATTTATGTAGAGAAGTGCATGGGAATCCCTAGCTAATAGACTTCAGTTAACAAGAAGCTAGCGCATTCACGAAACTTTACCTGTTGGGCTGGATGTGATGGATAAACCGTATGTCATCATTAAGAGAAAAGAAGTTGTTGAGGAAAGTTTATTCTGTCTGTTCCATGTGCACTTATCCTTACCCTGCTAGTGTCATATTTTTTCGTAAGATAATCAGCCGCAACATTTTCTTGCATTTTTGTACAATTGTGTAGTTCATGCCTTCATATTAGAGCTCCCTCTTCCTGAATTAACAGCAGTTGGAATATGTTCATGGTGTGCCACATTGTTTGGACTTCTTTGGGAGCATGTGCATGGTGCCATCTTAGGTCATATGTCACTTATCAAATGCTTATCTTCATAATTCATATGGCTGTTGTACTGTGCTATTACCTGCTTTCACCATGCAGTGGTTACGTTTGCACCCTCCCTCCCTTTTTGCCAATTCGGTGAAGTGTTTAAAAATAAAATTAACTGGAGGTTGAAGATTGTTTTATGTTTTTTTTTGAGCTGTGAATGACTGTAGGAGAGTTTCCTACAGTCTTTTTTGTTATTATTAATCAAGGATCAGGGGTACAAAGTTACAATGTATTATTTACATAGCTATCACCACAAACTGCCTAGTGTCTCACTATAAGAGGAGATGAAAAATCAATTCTGATTAGCAAGAGTCTTTTTGAGAAAAGCAACTAGCGACTAGGGCAGGCCCCTGACAAGGTTGATTATGAACCCCCTCGAAGTCTTCCTTGAACTTCCTGAGCCAAGATCCATGGAGAACGGTATTATTTTGAATATGAGGCCATTTCTTTCCTTCCAAATTGACCAAGCCGGAACCACAAAAAGCTCCATGAACATGGGCCTGGCCCAGTTCGCTTTAGCGCTGGTGAGCCATTCAAACGGGTTATTTCCCGCGCCCCAGGAAAGTTGCAGAGTGTTCCAACACTGAGCTGCGAAGGGGCATATGAAGAACAGGTGTTCGAGTGTTTCTTCCTCCCGGTTGCGGCACAAGATGCAGTCGTCGGAGCGCTCCCCCCCATCACCCACCACAAAGTATCTACGGCGAAGCATGTTCCTGGTGTTGTGCCGATCCGAGAGTAATAACCATGTAACCATCTTCAGTTTCATCCTACAGCTCAATTTCCAGATCCACTTGTAAGAATCATGCACCACCACCTCTCTGAAGCAGAACTGATAAAACTTGGCGGATGTGTACTTGTTGCCCCAGCTATAGGACCATGCATCACCAGTCGCGGTGTTGATGTAGCTATCCGCCGCGACGGCCTGGAGCTGGGCCACTTCCTGATGAGCTTGGGCAGACAATGGTAAGCAGAAGACATCGTTCAAAGAGCTGGTCAGAAGAAATTCGCGGACAGAAATGTCTTCATTAGTGGTGAAGGAGAAGGCCCTTGGGTATTTTTCTGTGAAGATTTGGCCACACAAGTCCTCCCAGAATAATGTCGTCTCTCCACTTCCAACAGAGACAGAGGAGATCCCTCGGTAAAATGGCATTAGTTGGATGAGCTCTCGCCACCAGAAAGATCCACAAGGCCCTGCTGCATGGGGAATGTTGTCATTGTAGTAAGCGTTCCAGATTGTTGTATGTTGCTCCCTCCATGCCATAAATAAGTGACGTTTTAGACATACCCTAAGTTAAAGTAATAGAACTTCAACTACAAATATCATTTTTATGAAAATAGAAATTCATATGTATACATTTGTCTCGAAAAGTATTTCTAGAATATGATATTTTTAGAAGTTCTGTACATATACTGCATTGTAAGTTACTGGTTGAAGTTAAAATATTGAAGATCGTGTCAATGTCTAAGCTTCACTTATTTGTGATATGGAGTACTCCCTCTGTAAAGAATATAAGAGCGTTTAGATCACTAAAGAGTGATCTAAACGCTCTTATATTCTTTACGGAGGGAGTATTAACTAGTGAGTGTAGCTCAGATGGTTAGGTTCCTTGTGGTGGAACCAGCCCACCCGGATTCAAGTCCTATACTTGGCATGAGTGCTCACATTTTCTTAGATTTATTCCATGCTTCCTGGCGATTTATTACGAGCCACCTATGTAACGTAGTCAATCTCAAGATTTGCCGACTCAGTATCTCGGAGGTGCTCATGGGGGCAGGGTGTGTGAGTGTGTGTTCATAGGGGTGAGTGTACGTGTGTATGTGAGTGTCTGCTTTTGTACTGTGTTTCTAAAAAAAATACTCTCATGAATATTGTGCATAACAGTTCTCGTTCTTTTTGATTAGACCTAAGAACATCTTGGTATTACATTAGAACAAGCAGAGCTAATTCCCAAAAGTGAATACGAATACATATTATTGTGCAGAAAAGCATAGGGAATCCCAAGCAGAAAACCTTAAGTTAATAAAGCAGCATATTGACAAACTCTAGTTAAATGAACCTTTGTTCGTATATAAGTAAAAGCTGCATTTTAAGTTTTTAACAGTTTCTGGTGAATTACTTTCCCAAGGTACTTTTTTGCTCATGTTACCATAAAAGGGAAAGCAACATTCTGGTGAGCAAAATATTAATTCTGTGTGTTCGCATTTCATTTTTCTGTACCCTGCTAGTGTTATGAGTAAATTCACTTACCATCAGGTAAAGTGAAGCTAGTTGCACATTGGACGAATTTTGCAACAATAAGCAGTTTCAACCAGGATAGGGCCAAAAGTTTGCACCGCACCACCTCATTTTTCCTTCATTGCCTCTAACGAAACCTCCATACGTCCTCTATATCTCCTGTGCAGTACTGCTGTTACCTGATCTCCCTGTTTAGTCGTTCATGTGCATTCCTCCTCTCATTTTTTGAACTTTTGCCACCGAATAAATGTTGTGTTCTAAAATGACTTCAATATCTTCTCTGTACATCTTTTATTCCTCTATACGAGTCGACAGTTCTTTTATTTTTGACTATATTTTCATTTTTTCTCTTAAAAGGAAAAAAGGATGAAGATTAAAGATGAGTTTTGAAACAATGTAGTGAAGATACAACTGAAATAATGCAAAAATGAAGTTAAACATGTTCTAAAGAGGTAACCAGAAGATACTCTGTTGCAGTTCCATCTCTTGGTACTGTTGCGGTTTATGATCTGGAAAGAAGTAAAGGGCAGCCTGGTGCACGTAGCTCCGACGTGCACATGTAACTATGATGTCTTGTTTGTTTCATGTCGAGAAAGAATTAACATCTTGATACATCTTTATCCAAGCTTGCATTATAAGTCTCCTGGAAGTAAATTTTCCCTGGTATGTTGTTTATTGGCTTCTCAGGGCTTCAGAAAGGTGGATCCTGACAGATGGGAGTTCGCCAATGAGGGTTTCCTACGGGGACAGAGGCACCTTCTGAAGAACATCAGGCGTCGTAAACCTCCCGCTCATACTGCCTCAAATCAGCAGTCCCTTGGATCTTACCTTGAGGTGGGGCACTTCGGATATGATGCAGAGATTGACCGGCTGAAAAGGGACAAGCAACTGTTGATGGCAGAAGTGGTGAAGCTAAGGCAGGAACAGCAGAACACGAAGGCGCGTCTGAAAGCCATGGAGGATAGGCTACGTGGTACCGAGCAGAAGCAGCAGCAGATGACTTCATTCATGGCACGTATCTTGCGGAACCCTGAATTCTTGAAGCAACTGATTGCCAAGAATGGGATGAGGAAGGAGCTCCATGACGCTATCTCGAAGAAAAGGAGGCGCCGCATTGACGGTGGACCTGAAGCTTATGCCGTGGGTGCTAGTAGCAGCAGCCTGGAGCAAGAGTTGCCTGTTGTGTTTGATTCTCATGGGTCAGTGGAACTTCTTGCCGAGGGGTCGGTGCCGGTGGAACTCCTTGCTGACGGGATCCCACCCGATCTGGAAGGCTCAGTGGAACTCCTTGCTGACGAGATCCCACCTGGCCTGGAAGGTTCAGTGGCACTCCTTGCTGACGGCCTGGAAGGTTCCGTGGAACTCCTTGTTGATGGGATTCCATCTGATCTCGACGGCTCAGGTATCGACTCTAACGGCGTAACAGAGCCACAGGATTATGGTCTCGGTACCTGTGAAGCGCAGCAGAACAGAGCCCCGGGGCTGTTCCATGATAATTTCTGGGAGGAGCTGCTGAACAAAGGACTCAGCGTTGAGAACGACGAGCCGGTTAACGTAGACGGCATGGATGTGCTGTCTGAGAAGATGGGTTATCTCATCCCAAATAGCCCAACCCTCTCAACCTAGTTCCATTTCATTCTATCAAATTGCCGCGACTTTCTTCGTGTTTCATCTATCCACCCTGCAGTGCATATGCAAGTGTCGTCCCCACCGTGTCCTGGTCTTCGAGTCGTCTAAACCCTAGACTTCCCTGGGATTATGTGATTTATGAGTGTTTCCTTCGATTGACCTTAGAGATCTGTTTGTTGTTTCAGGCAATATAGCCTCGTCAGTCTGTACTGCTAGCTGTTCAATGCACATGTTCTGATCTATACCGTGTAAGACAGTCTTTTGTGGACTAAAGTTGTACTCCTGTCTGGATTTATAGGCCATCTTTGTGGTTAGGTCGTCAATTTGACTAGCCAAATATATGTTAGTATATCACATAAAAACACATCAACAGAATCATGTTCAAATGGAGTTTGGAATCATGTTCAAATGGAGTTTGGAATCATATTCAAATGAAGTTTGGAATCATATATTTTCAGGTTCAAAAAACACATATTTAGGTATTCAAATCAAAGACCTAAAAATACCCGCACACCCTGGATAGAACTAGTAGTGTTTACTCCCTCAGTACTGAAACACTTATTTTGAGAAGAAGGGAGCATTGTAGATGACCTTGCATAGTAGGCATAACATCACTTTAGTGTCTCCATTTGGAGTATTCCAAAGATTTACATTTGATTTTCCATAGTTTTTGCAATCATGTGTATTCAATTACATAGTTATGTTTGCTATTCACGATCCTTTGCTATTTGCCACTTGTGTTGTGTTGCAACGAATGATGGTCAGGAGTGGTCGTTTGGCATCGCACTAGTGTTGCAACAATGATGGCGGCGAGTGGTCCTTTGGCATCACCACCTGTGTTGTGTTGGGCGGATAAGATTATTCGACGGTAAGTCCTCTAGGGCTCTAGGTTCTTCGGTACAACTCGCCGTGTAGTGGTGAATCAGACCTATGCAAGGTGGTTTGGTGTATGGTGATCCCTAGTTGTTGTGATGACTTTGTTAGTGGCAAGGCTTGCAACATTCTCCTGCATGTTTAGTCGTCAAATCGGCTATGGCTTGTGGCCAACAGTTTATCATGCGCTGCCTGGGCGTAGTCCAATCATTACGGTGGGAACTTCGTTAGTGGTCATCTAATGTGGAATAGGCATTGGCATCGGTGATGGTAATGATGTCTCCCTGAAGATTTACATTTGATTTTTCTTGGTCTTTGCAACCATGCATATTCAGTTACATAGCTATGTTTGTTGCTCAGGATCCTTTGCCTTCGCCTCTTGTCTTGTGTTGCAACAATGATGGCGACGAACAGTCCTTTGGCATTGCCACTTGTGTTGTGCTGCAACACTGATGGTGATGAGCGGTCCTTTGGCATCACCACTTGTGTTATGTCGCAACAATTTTGGTGACAAGCGCATTAGGTAGTCGCATGGTCTTAATCCAAGATTATCCGGTATGTCAGCTAGGTTCTTTGGTGCAACTTCTCGCCATGCAGTGGTGAATAGGACCTGTGCAAGGTGTTTCGGTGTATGGCGATCTCCAGTCATTGTGATGGCTTTGTCGATGGCAAGGCTTGCAACTTTCTCACGCGTGTTTAGTCATCAAATCGGATATGCTTTGTGCCAACTATTTAGCATGCACTACATGGGCATAGTCTAGTCCTTACAGTGAGAACTTCGTTAGAGGTCAACTAAGGTGATCTCAGAGCCACTAACACAGGGGTGATTGTAATAGTGTCTCCTTCAATTTCTCTTAAGATAGCTAACCAAGCTATGCTATGAGGATGCCATCTTAAATACAGGATTTTCGTGACGGTTAGTAGAACCCTGTGACGTGGATGACGACGCTCCTGCCCCCGACGACGCATGGCTAGCCCATCGCCTACCCGCGGGACAAGCCGATGAAGCCCATTTACGGGCCATCGGGGCATGCATCACCGCGTTCCTCGCCAACCACAACCCCGTTGGCGCCGAACATTCCATGTGCCACTGCCATGGTGGTCGTGGTTGCAACTAGTTACGCTAGTTAGTTTTAATTGCTTACACTAATTTGTTTCTATCAATAAGGTCATACTGGGTCTATCTATAACTATGAACGGAAGGAGGTGGAATTGGGGCAAGGCTCCCTGATTGTATGAGCGTGGGTTGGGGAGGGGAGGGGAGGGGGGGTGTTCGAACGTTGGTGGGCTGACAATACACATGCATCACGCTAGTCAAACCGAGTAGTTTGTAGAAGTACATCTCGGCCTCCACTTCCCGTGTCTCTCGCACGAGGCGAATAGGCATTTTGCGCCTCTCATCGGCACTGCAACATATTGGCTTCGCCTTCCATGGCCTTAGGGCTATGAGGCCTGGTGGATCTCGGCCCTTGCCGACGGGAGGGCTCCTACTATGTTTTTTGGTGTTCTTTTGTGTTCGTTTGGGGCTCGTGTACTGCTCAGGAAGACGAGACGGCGGCGGCTCCTTGAAGCTGAAATAAGGTTCTCCCCTCCTAACCTCCATTATGGCAGTGCGTCTAGTGCCATCAGGGGGCGTGCGGAGGTGTGTCTTCGACGGATCTCGCAGGATTGGGTCGGCATTTATCTTTGGTGGATCCACTTGGATCCGGTCTTTGTTCGTCTGTGCTCGTGTATCTTTAGGTTGGATCCTTCCGATCTACGCTTCTCTTCATCGACGGCGGTAGCTGTGCACTGGTTCTATTAGGACTTAGCACGATGACTTCCCGACAAACTAGTACAACAAGGTTTGTTCGGCTCCAATGAATGAGGGGCGATGATGACGTCGCGCCTTTGGCTCGCTCGAGTACTTGTAGTCGTTGCTAGGTCTAGGTGGTCTACGGAGCTGAATGCCCTTCTAGTATTCTTTGTACTGCCTTAACAGATGATGAGTAGATCAGAAGTTTTTCCCGCAAAAAAAAAACTTAGGCCTTTTTTGGTTCATAGGATAGGAATTTTATAGGAATAGAAAAATCATAGAAAGTGAGATGACATGCATGTCAATTCCTATAGAGAAAGAGATGTCATTTGGTGCATAGGATAGGATTTTTTCCATTGAGTCTAGGATAATGTTTTTTTTCCTCCAAAACGTGAAGGATTGATTCCTATCCTACATAGGAATAAGAATCCATTCCTACAAACCAGAGGGCTTCAAAGGAATTTTTCCTTTGCAAATCCTATCATATAGAATTCCTACAAAAATCCTACAAACCAAAGGAGGCCTTAGTAGTGTGTAATGCCATGGCATAAATAATGCTTATTTTGTGCATTATTGTTGTGAACAGGACCAGGGGATAACAGTTCCGACGAATGCACCCAAAGTTTGCACAGAGGCAATTGAAAAGCGCAAGGGGAAATTGGTGGTGAATGAAGCGGCTAGAGCTGTAAGTTCCTAGTTATCTGTGCTCAACAAATAATCAGTGAAACAAAGGACTGCCTGTTCAGATATCTGCAGGGCTTCCTGCAGATTCTTGATAAGCTGGGCTTCCTCGATTTTGAAACTGAAACCATCAGCTATGCTCAGTCCCTCCCATGATTCTTGTCTATCGTTTCCCCATTTCGGCGCGCCTGCTGACAGAGAAGCTGAAGCTAGCATGCGAGGAGGAAGACTCGAAGTCAGATATTGATCAGTTGTAGGCTACCCGTATGTAGTCTTGCATATTGATTTGTTTTCTCAGAACGTTGATGCTGAATTTTATTGGTTGCGCTTTTGACCTCGTGGTTGCTGTCTTGCTGACGTTGAGCTTTACTTGCCCTGTTCTCTCTCTGAGAACTCGACGATGCATGTGTCCTGTCAGTAGCTGGTGTGCAAGCATTCGCGGGTTATTATCGTTCCTTCAGACATCTACCACGTGCTTCATCTGCCGATTGCACTACATGTTTGCTTTTAAAGGCCAGGCAGTGTACTGAAACTACGACTTGCACTACATGTTCGTCGGCACTGCTTCATTGAGGACCGACCATATATCTTCTAAATAAATCTGAATCAGCAAGCACCAGTGGTCTAGTGGTAGAATAGTACCCTGCCACGGTACAGACCCGGGTTCGATTCCCGGCTGGTGCATCTTTTTTCTTTTCTTGGTCACTCTCTCTCTGGCCCTGCCTGACGATTTTTCTTGGTCACTCACTCTCTCTGGCCTTGCCTGACGACGAGTGATGTTTCGTTTTCGCCCGATGAAAAAATGTTGCACATACTCTGTTTTTGGGTGCAGGAATGTTGTCCATGCTTCCATCTCGAATGACTAGACGTGGCATTGTGTTTTGTGTGACTGGGTGCCCCTTTAGAGCATCTACAACCGGATCCTGCAAACCCGTCTTAAGTTTTTGGGTAGGTCGCTCGGTCACGATTTTTTGACCCATACGAGCCTTTCAAATCGGGCTGACCGGCACCTCTCATATCCAGTCCAAATATGTGGTGAATATGGAACGCCCAGGCGCGTCCGAGCACGCCTGTCACATCGGACCCAACAACCCGACCCCATCCTAAATTGCACCAAACCCCCCTTCCTACCCGAGCTACCGGATCCATTTGCTCTCTCCTCTCTTCTTCCTCCTTCGCGCCGTCCGGCTCGCAGATCCACGCCGCGCCCGCTCCGCAGCCGTTCCTAGGCTCTCCGCCGCAAGCTTCGGAAGAGCGCTCCCGTCCTCGCCGCGGGGGACGTTGTCACCGGCCCGGACGCCACCGTGGTACGCCGGCAAATCTCTGGCTCCGCCTTGTGCTTGATGTGTTCGACACATTGACCGACCGGAATTATTGTGATTTTGCTAGGTAAACGATGAATTCCGATGCTTCGTCAAACGAGGAGTATGGACCGACGTAGCTTGAATGATTCAATATGAGTTCTTCGATTCGTCGAATTCAGACGAAGAAGTGGACATGATCATGCTCATGAGCATGCAAGAGGAAATGGACTGGCAAGTGGAGCATATTCTCAACTTAAGGGCTCAATCAAAGGGAGAAGAGTGAACAACCGGGACAGGGTGTCCGGAGCAAAGCTGGACAATGACTACTTTGCTCCCACAACTGCTTTCCTGGATGATCCATGGTTTCGTTGCCATTTTCGCATGCGGAAACCATTATTTTTGCGTATTATGGAGGGAGTGGAGGCACACGATGACTACTTTAAAGTGAGAAGGGATTGTTGTGGCCAACTCTCTTTCTCAGCCAAGCAGAAGTGCACGGCTGCTCTGAGGATGCTTGCACTTGGTACTGCTGTAGACGCCGATGGTGAGATGGTCAGGATGGGGGGGAGAGCACGACTACTATCAAATTTGCTCGCACCGTGGTTGAGGTGTTTGGACTGGAATATCTCAGAGAACCAAATGCGCAGGACACAAAAAAGTTGTTGACTATTGAAGAGTCAAGGGGGTTTCCAAAAATGCTCGGATCAATTGATTGCATGCATTGGCAATGAAAAAATTGCCCCAAAGGTCTGCGGGGAATGTAGGTTACACTAGAGAGGCCACCATCATACTAGAAGTGGTGGCATCGTCACATGACTTATGGATTTGGCATGCTTTCTTTGGAATGCCCGATTCTCACAACAAAATCAACGTGCTTCAACGATCTCCGGTGTTCAGGAGGCTTTGCAATGGGGAATCACCGCCATGCAACTACACCGTCAACGGCAGGGACTACACCATGGGGTACTATCTTGCCGATGGTATCAATCCTCAGTGGCCGGCGTTTGTGAAGACCATATCCGAGCCACGTGACAATAAACAAAGCCACTTTGCAACAATGTAGGAGGCAGCTAGGAAAGACGTGGAGAGGGCACTTGGTGTGCTTCAAGCTCGTTGGGGAATTGTGCGGAGCGCTGCAATTATGTGGGAATCGGAAACATTTTGGCAGCTGGTGACATATTATGTTATTCTGCACAATATGATTGTCGAGGATGAGGGTGATGGTGTAGCCCAAACCCATGATTTCGAAGCACCCGGAGAACAAGTTGAAATCCCGGAAGATCAAGATGCGTCTCAGCTTATGAACTTTCTGCAAATGCATCAGAATCTTCGAAATCAGCAGGTGCACACGCGGCTACTTAATGATCTTGTGGAGCACATGTGGATCCACAATAGCAACCAAGGAGGCAATGCTTGAGTTTGGCTCTTCAAAATAATTTTTATGTAAACGCTATGTATGCTTGATACCAACAATTGTTATTTACATGCGACATTGTGTTGCATGATCAACGTGCATGTATTTGCATAAATTTGAGAGTCCGGATTTAAAATATGCGAAAGCATGAAAGAAAATATAAGGACCCGTCTGGATGCGCCTGTGGGCGTTTGTGTGGCCGGATTTGTCAAAGTCCGGCAGCGTAGATGCTCTTATAGAGCGCGGGGTAGCTTTTTAACTTGCCACCCAAATAGTGTGCACCGTCGTGCACTGATCTTAACAGATTAGGACACGCCCACATACATACATATACGTAGATATTATATAGAGATAATAATCCAAACGGTCGAGTGTGCAGACAGTGCAAAGTCCCACGGCATTTCGATGAATCCTGTGTCGGCATCCATCGCGTCCCGAAACGCCCACTCCAAAGCCAGTTGTGCATGTGCGCATGTATGACATGGAGGTGGTGCAGCCACAAGAAGAAGAAAAAGAAAGAAGAGCCCAGCCGCAGGCCGCAGCCGGGGACTAGACAAGAGGAACCTTTTTTGCTCTGCTCAAGTTTCTATGCAACCCAGCTCCATACTTACGGATGATGACGAATCTGATAAGATGCAGCAGCAACTTGGAATGGGGACGGAATGTACTCGACGGAGGGATGGATACGCATGCGCTGACGACCATGCGTGCATCCAGCAGCAAGGAAGAAGCAGTGTCCCGACTGTACGACGCACCATGACATGATGGATCGGCCATGGCTTGTCACACTAGCCATAATGGAGAGTAACATACACTAGTAACATACGTGTATTCTTAGATTATGTTACTATCTTCATAGTGGGTAGTAACATAAGTATGGTAACATGCATAACTTGATTTATTAGGTTATAGACTCACATTGCATTGGGACATGTGATGTTATAATAACTAGCTAAGTTATTACTACTACCTTTCTCCTCATTAACTCATTGCCACATAAGCAAATTTGTTGAGTTGGACTCGATGTTACTGCTGAAATTACTTCCACTGTGGCTAGTCTCAGGTTATACATGCCCAGTTCATTCAGGCGCATCATAGGCCAGGGCGGTTTCTCTGCATATGAAGGCTCAGTATGGCAGTGTCACTGATCGCGTTGTTATCCTAACTAATTTGTTTGAGCTCATCCGGACGTTGTGTCTTTTTCTTTCAGCCCGCTCGCCTTGGACGTACCACTGGCGCATGCAATGCAACCACAGGCTAACTGCTTGATCAAGCACTACGAAAATACTCCAAAGCTCGAGTGCGTGCTGTGGGGATATTTTGTTTGTTTGTTTGTGAACAAGACCAGAACAGATGTGGATAGACATCATATCGAAGGCAACATACCCGCATACACAAGCAGATTACAACAATCAAATCGGTTGAGTGCGCAAAATTAAAGGCGCAAGTCCCATGACAAACCTCCCCATGCATCCGTCAGCGTCCATGTAAGCAGTTTCCTTTGTTTTGCTTGATCAAGTTGCTCCTCGCAATATATAGAGCATGGTGTTCGCTCTCCGTCCACCCATCGGACGTACTCCCTCCGTAAACTAATATAAACGCGTTTAAATCACTAAAAGTAAACTAATATAAAAGCGTTTAAATCATTATTTTAGTGATCTAAACACTCTTATATTAATTTACAGAGGGAGTACTACTCTATGAACCTCGCATGCAAGTTGCCGTCTCGTCGCGCCGCTTGGGTTTCTTGGCCACACAGTGGAGTACATACTACTCCTTTCGTTCCATATTTATACTAAATCAACGAGTAATATAAAACGGAGGGAGTACCACACAGGCTCGCAAACATAGATCTGGACCCATGTTTTTGGTAGGCATCGATGGATCACATGATGGATCGATCGGCCATACTTGCACACATTACGGCTACTGTCCAATCGATTGAGTGTGCAAAAGGTGCAAGCCCCATGCCATGCATGCATCCGTCAGCTCAGCGTACTACATGGACGTAGCGCATGCAGCTGTATAGTGACAACTGACAACAGAAGAAGATATCGATCGACCCATACACACATGACACATTACATATGCATACAACTAATCAAGGCGTTCCCTTTGACGAATTTGCTCAAGTCGCTTTTGGCAACACACGTTGCATGGTGTTCGCTTTGTGTCCATCCAATCCTAGCTCGGCCGGATATGGTATATATATGTACAAAACCCCGCAAGTCGCACAAATTTCT